TCAGGGAATCAGCAGTCAGTAAGGGGACTTCTAGTGAGTATGGGACAGTGAGGCCTGAGCCCCCAGGAGCCCCACATCTACAAAGAGAGAAGGAAAGGAAACAACTAAGCAACTGAGCTGGGCCGTGAATCTTCCAGAAAATTGTATATGTTCTCTAATAAACTAACCTGGTGTTTTTGGCCTCTTATCAATATATCTTTCAGACCGGGCGCAGTGGCTCACACCTGTAATCCTAGCACTCTGGGAGGCCGAGGCAGGCAGATTGCTCGAGGCCAGGAGTTCGAAACCAGCCTGAGCAAGAGCGAGACCCCGTCTCTACTATAAATAGAAAGAAGTTAATTGGCCAACTAATATATACAAAAAAAAAAAAAAATTAGCCAGGCATGGTGGCACGTGCCTGTAGTCCCAGCTATTCGGGAGGCTGAGGCTGCAGGATTGCTTGAGCCCAGGAGTTTGAGGTTGCTGTGAGCTAGGCTGACGCCATGGCACTCACTGTAGCCTGGACAACAAAGTGAGACTCTCTCTCAAAAAAAAAAAAAAATATATATATCTTTCAGATTGTTCCAAATCACTACATGTAGAGCTGCCTTAATTTTTTTTTTTTTGAGACAGTCTCACTCTGTTGCCCGACTAGAGTGCCATGGCATCAGCCTAGCTCATAGGAACCTCAAACTCCTGGGCTCAAGCGATCCTCCTGACTCAGCCTCCGGAGTAGCTGGGACTACAGGCATGCCCCACCATGCCCGCCTAATTTTTTCTATATATTTTTAGTTGGCCAATTAACTTCTTCCAATTTTTAGTAGAGACGGGGTCTCGCTCTTGCTCAGGCTGGTCTCAAACTCCTGAGCTCAAAGGATCCTCCCGCCTCGGCCTCCCAGAGTGCTAGGATTACAGGCGTGAGCCACTGCACCCGGCCAGAGATACCTTAATTTTTTAAGTAGGTGTGGTATTGTATGGCTACATCATAATTTATTTAGCCAGGCTGCAACTGATAAGACATTTGGATTGTTTTTGATATATTTGTTGTTCCGAACAATAATTCCATGAATGCTTATATTAAAAACTCATTTCTCATGTGTGTGAGCATATCCGTTACTCATAAGAGAGACATTGCTGTGTCAAAGAATGTATATGGTTTTTATTTTAATATATATTGTTAACCCCCTCCCCACCACCACCCTGGGTTTGTTACCAATTTCCTCTCCCACTAGCCATGCCTAAACATATATATATACCATGCGTGAACATACCTGTTTGCCCAAGACATGGTCAGCAAAATATATGAGATCAAACTTTGCCTTTGCCAACCGGATAGGCAAAAAATGGTATCCAGTAGGAAATGTAATTTGCATCTGGAGGGGAAGATTTTTCTGGAAGAAAAAAAAAAAAAACACCGAGTCACAAGTGCCGGCTGCTTTAGTGCTTCTGCCAGTCCAGACAGCACCTCTGGGTGAATTAATAAAAGGCGCTCCTCCTCAAGACACTCGGCTGCCATCTGCTAGACAACTGTCGTGGTAACTTAACAAATGCATGATGACTTTGAGGGAAAGGACACCTCTGGAGTTGAGCAGAACACAGCCTGCTCCACCACAGGCGGCCGTGGAGCCACCAGCAGCTTTGTCAGTATAGTGGTCTCCGGGTAGTGACCAGATTGCCTGACATTAATGCAGGAGAAGTGGCAAACCCAGGGCGGGAATTCAAGATGCTTGACAGTGGAGCAGAAGGGCATTAGCTTGAGGGAAGGCCAGAATAAATGGAAACTTCATTATCCATGGATTATGCACTTGGAACTTAGGTCCCAGGCAACTCTGATATTAGTCATTTGGCCAGCGGGCTCATTAAGCTCTTAAGAAAAGTGGGCCTAGTTAATGAATTAATACGAGATGACATTTTACACACAGAGCAAAAACGAGACCAGGCACCACTGAGTTATGCAACATCATAATTTCTCAAGCAAATGTGATCGCTGCATCTCGCCTGCCAAAGTGAGCCGGTCTGAAGAGCAGAGCCTGCTCTTCTGAGACATAAGTGAGACCATTGAGTGCCACAGACGTTTTATATTCTGTGCATTTTAAAGGGCTCAAAACCTCAAGTGTTTACCCAGAAGTCAGCGTTTTAACATCTCTGGACCATTTGTTTTCTCTGTGAAAATCTACCCACTTTCCTCCTTTAAGAAATACATCTCACTGGAATGCAACTCAGGCAGTCCTTATCTTCTCCCCCATTTTCCAAGAGGTGCTCCCCCCCCAGCTTTGACCTCTGGTCCCGAAAAGTTGGTAAGGACAGTGGCAAGAGCGTGGACACTGAAAACTGGCATGAACTGGCGAGGGATCATGACAGATGCTGGAGGCGGATAGTGGTAATGGTTGCACAACAATGTATCTGCACTTACTGCCACTGACTTAAAAATGGTTGAAAGATAAATTTTATGTTACGTGTATTTTATCATAATAATATTTTAAAAAAGAAAAAAAAATACTGGCATTACTGAGTGCAAACCCTTGCCAGGCACTGTGCATGGCACTTGTGTGTATATCGTGCCTTACCCTCCCAATAATCCAGGAGATACGGGTGCTGCTGTTTACCCAGCACCACCGCCATTTCACAGACGAGGAAACTGAGGCTCATGCAAGTTACATAACTCGCTTGAGCTCAAACGGCTAGAAGCGATGAAGTGATGGCTTCAGGATTCGCCCCCAAGGCTCCGTGACTCTGCAGCTCTGCATGCGAGATAATGCAATGAAGGTATTTGAGTCGAAGCCTGAATTCTGAAACATATACACACAAGCCCCCACCCAGCTTTTAATTATTTAAGCTGAGAACAAACAGCGCTCCAGCAGAATCCCTGAGTGACAGCTTATTGTCTTCGGAAAAATCCCAAACCGCCTCCCTCCCTTAACCGTTCTGCAGCACGATTCTGCCTTTCTGTTGGATTCGTGTTTGTTTCTTTCTGTACAGAAGAAGCCCTGAAACAAAGACCACCAGGGATTTGGAGCATCTTCCGTAGCTTTTAGTCCACGTTTGGGTGTGGCTAGGAAGAACATGTAACACATAGAGCCAGGAGCTGAAGGGGGAAGGTCTTCACTTGTCTCAGATTGGGATTATTTGGGAAATCAGGAAAGAAGTGTGTTTTGCAGCTTGTGGGTTTTCAAAGGAGAGATTTCCTGGCTCCTCTCCCTACTTCATATGTGGCTTTAGACAAGTTATTAATAATTCACCTCTCTGAGTCAATTTGCTCTTCTGAACACTAGGAATAATAATAGTGCCTGCTTTACCAGGGCAAATAAACAGATTTTTTTCATGGAATTGTGGGCATTTATTGAGTGCCTACTATGTACCGGGCACATACTGCACTCTGGGGATGAAGGAAGCAGCTGCACCACTACTGGTGAAGGATGGAGTGCCCTGTGCCAGGGCAGAGGACACGAGCCACCAGTGGTCGCTGCTGCTGCTGCTGCTTCATGTTTACGTTTGGTCCCCGGAGACCCACTGAAACCTCCTCACTGCTTCGCAGGTGGAACAGACACAGGGTTGCGGTCACCAGATTTGCTCACGTGGTTGCATTTAGATTATTCTTCCTGCTAAGGCCACACGGTGGATAGTTGCCATTCCCCCTCAAAGACGAGGGGCCGCTCCATATTCCTGTGTCCGCCTGGACCTTACCGTGGTTGCCAGGTGTGTCCTACTGACCGAGAGCTCCTTCCCTGGGTACTTGACGCGTGGCCCATTAGCACACGTGGGGAGGACGATATTAGCAAGCTGCAGGGGTGGCACGGGTTCCAGACTTCCACCCCAGGACCTCGGAGGAGATGCCTGCAGGTTGCCTGAAAGGTCTTGCTGGGGTGCTGTAGAGCAGTGTTGGGGCAAAGCTCTGAAGTCAGACCCCCAGGCCCGAGTCACACACAGCTCCAAACTGTGTGGCTTCGGTCAGGGGATCTGACCTCTCTGCGCTGCATGTTCCTCATGTTCAAAAGGGGATTGCAATGCCTGCTTCATGGAGTTGTCCTGGAGCAAGGAGAGGAGACGATGCAGCACCTATTTGCGTGTGTTGAACGCACATTTACATAGCGCAGTGTCAGCTGTTGTCCCAAGTGCTTGATGGTTACTGACGCATCCATATCTGTAGACCCCCAGAGTGCTGGGGACTGTCACTATTCCATTTTGGAAAGGGGTGTCACTTTCCAAAGGGCACACAGCCCATAAAGTGAGGGGCTGGGATGTGAATCTGGGTGGCTGCAGAGTCCATGCTGTTAGCCTGTGCTGTGCTGGGCTGTCAAAAGCTCCACGTGGGGCCTGGCGTAAAATAGATGCTCTACATGCATGAGGAGCCCCAAAGGCTCCCACCTGTCTTCCTCGGGTGTGTTGTATGATAAACGCCACGGAAACTCTCACTCCTATTGCTGGGGAGTGACATTCCCTGGGGCTGACTTTTTGCAACAACTTTATTGAGGCATTATTTGCAATACATAAAATGTGCCTGTTTAAAGTATGCAATTCAATGATTTTTCAAAAATTTACCAGTTTGTCCAACCATCACTACAATCCAGTTTTAGAACAATTCCCATCACCCTGTTGAGATCCCTCGTACCCATTCACAGTGAATCCCGTTCCCTCTCTAGCCCCAGGCAACCACTAATCTACCGTCTGCCTCTATAAATGTGCCTTTCTCGGACATTTCATATAAATGGGATTGTACAATATGTGATCTTTTATGTCTGGCTTATTTCACTGCCTTATGTTTTTGACGTTTATCCATATTGTTGCATGTATCGGTATTTGTTACTTTTTATGGCCGAATAATACTCGGTTGTATGGACATACCTCATTTTGCTTATCCATTCACCAGTCGGTGGACATTTGGGTGGTTTCCACTTTTTGGCTGTTGTGAATAGTGTCGTTATGAATATTTGCATGCGAGTCCTGGGGCTGACTTGAAGACACAAAGGGAGCCAGACCGGTAACCCTTTCTCTCTTCCTCTCTTCTCTCCGGGGTTTCTCAGAACCAGGCAGCGGCCAGGTGTTTGTGACTTCGGAGAACCAGCTCGTGTACTACCCCAGCATCACGTACGCCATCATCGGCAGCTCCGTCATCTTCGTGCTGGTGGTGGCCCTGCTGGCGCTGGTCTTGCACCACCAGCGAAAGCGGAACAACCTCATGACGCTGCCAGTGCACCGGCTCCAGCACCCCGTGCTGCTGTCCCGCCTGGTGGTCCTGGACCACCCCCACCACTGCAACGTCACCTACAACGTCAACAACGGCATCCAGTACGTGGCCAGCCAGGCCGAGCAGAATGCCTCAGAAGTGGGCTCCCCGCCCTCCTACTCTGAGGCCCTGCTGGACCAAAGGTGCGTGCTGGGAGGAAGAGACCGAGGAGGGGAGGGAGGTCGTGCAATGCGGGGAGAACATGTGCACAGGCCCGGGGTCCTAGGTGTTGCCAGGAGCCTGGGTTCAGCTGCTCTGGGCAGCAACAGCGTCTGACATTTACGGAATCTTTGCAAAATGCTCCCCTTGTATCATCTCATTCAATCCTCTCAGTCACCCACTGAGGGAAGTTCTGGATTTGCCTCCATTTTACAGATGAGGAAACTGATGCTCCGGGGTGTTAAGCTACTTGTCTGAGGACAGGCAGGATCCTGGCTGACTCAGAGGCCTGCTCCTCCTGGGAATGCCACACTGGTACATGTTCAGGCCACTAACTGGCTCCGGGCCCCACCTGCCACCACAGAACAGTGCTCAGTGCAGATGAGAGGTTTGGTTAATGTCTGTTGAATGAATGGATGAACGAATGAGTGAATGAAGGAGAGAATAAATAAGTTCCTTAACGTTGCTTAGCTTCATCTATAAAATGAAGAAGGTGGAATAGAGCACTCTCGGGCTTTTTTAAAGCAGTAGAGCCCTCATTACAGATGGAATTATACGAAAACTCCCAAAATATAAGCCAAAAAGCAGAGTTCTACAGCCAAAGCAGTTAGTGGACTTAAGTCCTGCCCGGTGTCCCTCTTTCCCGAAACCTAGGACGCAAACTGTGTGTGGCAGGAGGCATTGTGCAGGCCGTGTGCCCAGGGGGACTGGGCTCTTGCTTGGACCAATGGCGGCTCTTGTATTATTTAATCTTCATCAGTCCTCCTCATTGAAGGTAAACAAAGCTTCAGGGGTCAGGGAGGGGGCAGCACTTAAGGATCTCTCTGCAAATTAGTGCAGGGATGCAGGACCTCCCTCAGCTGATAGAGTCCCTACTCCTAACCTCTCGCTTTGCACCATCCTGTGCAGAGTAAGGCTACACGTGCCAAATCTGGAGACAAAATGCTGGGCTCAAATCCCAGCATTGCTGCGTACTAGTTATTTCTCATCCTGGGCAAGACATTTAATGTCCTGGTGCCTCAGTTTCCTCACCAATTCAACAGGCATAAAAATAAAGCCTACCTCCTAGCTTACCTGTGAGCATTACATAAAGTAACAAACAGAAGGTGCATAGCAGAGTTCCCAGCTCACAGTGAGCCTTCAGCAGATGAAGAGCTAAACAATAAAATGTCTTTTCTGTTAAATACATTGATTTCAAGCCCCTTCTAGAGAGAGAGAGACCGAGGTGTTGAGAGGGTGTTGTCCTCTCCCGTACCCCGGTTCGCAGCCAGGCAGAGCCGGCTGTCAGCGAGAACCTCAGAGTCTGTATACCCATCAAAGGCCCAGACAAGACCCCAGCCTGGCAGCTTGGCTGCAGGGCATCTGGCCAGTGGGCCAAACCACCCAGGTCGGGCTGAGGGACTTGCATGGCACCCTCGTTCTGGGTCCACCGGGAGGGTGTGGTTCTGGTACTGCCCAGTTGTCATGGGCCAGCCAGAGCCCACTGACCTCTTTGGTTCCCTTTGTCTTGTTTCAAACCGCTGGTTTTCCTGGTCCTTGAATTACCTTTGTGCTTAGAGGGGAAAATCTCATTTCTCGCTGGAAGCATCGTCACCTCAGAAATGGGCTGAAGTCGGCTTATCTTGACCCTAATGTGTTCTTTTCCCTCTCCTCTCCCCGCTGCCCCTGCCACCCCGACCGCTGTCCCCATTGCAGGCCCGCGTGGTACGACCTCCCTCCGCCGCCCTACTCTTCGGACACGGAGTCTCTGAGCCAAGCGGACCTGCCCCCTTACCGCTCCCGGTCGGGGAGCGCAGACAGCGCCAGCTCCCAGGCAGCCAGCAGCCTCCTGAGCGTGGAGGACACGGGCCGCAGCCCGGGGCAGCCCGGCCCGCAGGAGGACACTGCCGAGCCCAGGGACTCTGCGCCCAGCCAGGGCACTGACGAAGTATAAAGTCCAGTTATTCCAAAGTCCATATGGGTTAATCTGCTCCGACTTGTTACCATTCTAACAACCTGTGTGCGTGGGAAGGCCTTTAAGCACCTGTAAAGGAGTCTCGAGTTGCAGCTTGGGGTGTCAGCTCTCCCTCCATTCCCCTCCTCCCTGTTTTCAGGGGGCGACTTGGCATTTTTCTGGCCGTTCTGTTGACACGATCTGTTGTGCGTCTTTTCTGGGAGGTCGCGCTTCCTTCGAGACCCAGGATCACAGCCTCAATTTCACATCACTCTTCTGTTCCTGTTGGGCAGGCAGCAGGATAGAACGGGATTTAAGGAGATTTGCAGAAAGCGGGGTTTCTGTGCTGTGCTGGATATTCAGAAGGGCAGAAGACACCGGACCAGACGTTCTCTGCGGGGCTGCTGCCTCATCACGTTTTGGGCTTTAGGTTGGATGACCCTGGCAGGAGGCCATCACCGCCTTACAGGATCCTGTATGCTGCCCTCGGTTCAGCGGAGGCAGTTGCCAAAGAAAACTTCTGACACGAGAAACACCCTTCAGCAATCAGCAGTGTCATTGTGGTTTTGCAAAGGACTCTGAAACTGTCTAACCCTGGATAGATTCTGACTTCTGAATTTTGCCCGAGAGTCTTCGTTTTGAGAGCTTTCTGCAGCAGGGTATCTCATCAGCCTCATCCCAGATTAGGCAGGAAGGCCCTGCCATGGGTTTATTCAAGTTCTCAGCTCCTGAAATGCAGCTGCCAAGAGCCTTGGCTTCATAGTCGCTACCCTGGTTTCTGGACTGTCACCCTCCCAGCCGACCTGCCTGTAGCCAAGGAATAAGGACCTGACTTGAGTTGACCAAAAATCTGATCTGGCCCTTTGTTGCCTGTAAACCACACCCAGCCCATCTTGCTCGTTCATGCAGCTTCAACACTTGCCTCTGAAGTTCCCTTAACACTTACAGGTCTTTTTTACCTGTGCATTCGGACTTGAGGGTGCTGGTTTCTAAACATACGTGAGAGCCATATTCGGTACCTTGTGTGAGAGCTCCCGGCTCCCTGCACTGCACACGCTCCTCTTCCCAGGATCCCAGGCCCTGCACCCCTCATTAGGGTCAGGGTTAGAGTTAGGCTCAAGGTCAGGGTCCTAACAGAGTTAGGGTCCTAACAGAGTTAGGGTCCTAACATCCCAGTAGTTTCTCCTCTGAGACACATGGGCAGTAGACAGTTTGGAGTCAAGATTTTCCATTTGGGTTTTAAAAAAAAAAAATTCTTTTAGAAATGCATTTGAAACAGTGTGTTTGTTTTTTTCCCTTCTAGTTAAGGGACTATTTATATGTGTATAGCAAAGCTGTCTCTTTTTTTTTGTTTGTTTTCCCTTTAGCAAGGTCCAAAGAAAGATGCAAAAGGAGATCACGCCTTTGTCCCGCCGAGCCCCAGGATAACAAGTCACTCCAGACTAACCTGTGTGCCAGACATTTGTGCATGGTTGCACTTTGAGGTTATTATTTATCGAGTTCTTGAAGGATACAGAAAGAGGGGCTCATCTCTCCCTCAGTCTGTAGTTTCTGTGTTTGTGCCCTAGTTGTTCTCTTTCTCTGCGCCCAGCCAGCCACAGGGCCCGCTTCCTGGAGGGAAGAATAGCTAAAAACTTAGGCGTTATTCGGCAAGAAACCACACTGACAGAGGAGAGCTAAAACTGGAACCAGGTGGAGCCACTCCGGGCAGCTGTCACCCGTTGAAGGCTTCTTTCCACGGCCGCAGAAATGTTCAGTAACCTGTTTGATGCTAATTAAAACAGCCTGCAGGAAGGGAGATGAAGTGGCAATTCCGTGATCCTGTTCTGTAGACTTTTCTTTTTTTAACCAAATCCAAAGTTTATTACAGGAAAGTTGGCCACTTGGTCTTTTGTTGTGTGTGTGTGGTTTTTTTTTTTTGTTGTTTTGTTTTTAAGTAAAGGAAAAGAACCTAGTTGCTTGTATCTTTCATTTTTAAAATAGCACTTGCGTTATTTTCTGAGTAATCCAATAAAGAAAGAACTTTCATGGCAGCCAGAATGTGTTAGGAACCCTGGCTGAACATTTCATCTCCTGTGAGTCAGAAGGGCTTTATTTCTCCCTTTGATGGGCCCTTGCCTCTTTCTGGTGCTCTGGAAGTTGTTTAGAGGAAAAGATTCTAATTTTAATTAATTGTGCAGTGAGTTAATCTCACACGCTTTTCTGCTTCCAGGCATCTTAGGAAAAACAAATGGTTTTAGTAGATAAGGGAAGCCTATTAATGTTGTTTTTTAAAACAAACACAGGGACATTTTTATTATAGATTTGATTTTTTTAATGAATGTTTTGAAAAATATATAAATAGGACACCAAAGCTGCAGGGTTTTGGGGGGGTTTTTTCCCTACTCAAGATGGCAAGTAAGTGGCCAGCAATATTTTTTAACTCATTTTAACCAGGATTATTTTATACGTTGCTTAAACCTATGCCAACCAGAAAATGATCTCTGCTCTCTTTTCTCAAATGAGATCAGCGGTTTATTTTAGCATTAAAATAGTTTCACTGTGATCGCTAGCTTATCAGCCCTTTCTACTCAACCCTCTCTACCTTGAAATTGACATTTTTTAAAAAAATGCAACTAAGTGATTAATAAATAATGTGTGATGTTCAAAGTTAATGTAAACTGGAAAGGTCGTGTGTGGTTGCTTTTTGTTTTTCAGTTAGGCTTGGTTTCATTTTTTTTTTTTTAATTTTTATACTTTCAAATAAACTTGCAGTTTCATTCTTTCTATTTGTGTGAATGGTTCTTGACCCACTTATCTGACCTATAGCAACATAAAGAGTGGATAATCACTTCTGTCCTAACTTCTGCAATGAGTTTATGCCATAATAAAATGAGAAAAAGGAAGAATATGTGGATGGGACCTCAAAATGTGATGGACACATAAGGATTCTGCAGTCAGTATGATTGGAATACAGGGGTAAAGTTCATATCATGGGCCCTGGGAAGTTGTATCAGAAGCCGGCTGTTTCTACCTTAGCTACAGCATTGTTCAAGGGAAAAGGACAAGTGACTGTGATAACTACAGATTCTGACCACGTATTCAGGGGTGACTACAGCGCCTGCACAGGTGTGCTGGTAGTTAGCTTCAGACCACAAAGGTCTCAGATTGGCCCCACCAATGATGGGACCATCTTTACACTCTAATAAGTCTAGTTTCAGAGTCACGTGTTGACTGATGCAGCAGGGATAGTCGCATATGAGCTCAGGATGTCCCACGAGTCACCACCACTACTGCCACCACCACCCATGAACAGGGGCAATAACTCCAGCCTTGGCCAAGATTGAAATCTACATGGAAATCCAGGCACAGGACCCACAGAACCAAGATTTGGGTCATGTATTGGTCCCCAGTTCTCTCAAAAAAGAAACTGGGCTATCAGGCAGGGGTGTCCCAAGTTTATGCTATGTCATGTCCTGCCCTAAGTGGTCTAGAGTAGACCTCACCAAACAGCAAACCCCAAAGGTTTGTCAAGATACTCATCCCCCAGAGTACCTTATGAATACCATTTTTTTATGGATACTAGGGTGAAGAAACAATTGTAAAGCACTAATCTAGAGCAGAGATTGGCATACTTTCTATAAAGGGCTAGGTAGTAAATATATTTGGCTTTGTGGCCATATGGTCTCTGTAGCAACTACAAAAGCAGCCATAGACAATACATAAATGAATGGGTGTGGCTGTGTTCCAATAGAACTATTTATAAAAACAGGCAGCTGGCTAGAGTTGGCCTGTGGGCTGTGGTTGGCCAATGATCTAAAGGATCATTTCCACACTGGGTCATGGATCTAAAGCTAAGAGCGTTTGTAGAGAAGAAACAGTTGTACTATGCCTTGGGGGTATGAGAGCTTAAAATGACACCAATCCCCCAATTCAGGGCCCCTTTTAGTTCTTTTCCAATGAATATGAAAATACAGGATTAAGATGAATAGAGGCTGTCCTAATGAGGTCCTAAACAGTAGGGTTGAATGTAGCAATCCTAGTGAAAAAACTACTCTCACTGGGAGTTCTTTGATGTTATAAACTCGGACAGCAGTCTGTCTTTTAGAGAAGGTCCATGGTAGTGAGTGACCTGGGAGGTGTTGTCCATATTCTCCATTTAGTTTGCAACACACAGGCAAAGCAGTAGATTCAAAGATCAAACTGAATGAGAAAGAGATTTGGATGGTTGGGGTGGAGCTATAATGAGTGTACATAAGGAAAAGATACGCGCCAAATGAGACCCTCGGAGAAAAGGTGAGAAAATATACGGACTCCCTTAACATCCCATAGTTAAACAAGGCCATGGCACATTAATTAGAATTCCTAGTTATAAATAATAGAACTCCAATTCATATAAGATTAATTGTGTTACGTTTTAGAAGGTATATCGTCTAATGCAACCAAGTCCAAGGGTATGGAACTATTGATTCCAAGCAGGGCTGGATCCATTTGCTCCCCAGCTGTTATTAGGAATCTGTTTTTCCCTTGAGAATTTCTCAGCCCTGCTTTGCTTGGTGTTGGCTTCACGGAAAAGAAAGTCCAAGAAGATCTCGGTTCATGATCTCAGAAGAGACATTCTCCTCTAGCATCTATAGAAATTCCTTTAAATGGACTCAATTGGTCATCTTTGGTCATGTGGCCATTACTGTGGGTGGGACTCATCCCTTGATTGACAGCCCCACCTGAGTTACATGGAGTGGGAAAGGGGAATTCTCAGTTCCTCTTCCCATATGGAACAGTCTGGTAGTAGACAAAATACCAATTCTATATCTACCATAAACCCTCTCCAATGAATGGGACCCACACTTGCTAACACAATTTTGAATACACGTAAGAAAATTGCATACAACTGTAAGCTTCAGGCGACATAAGCATGAAATGATCTGAAAGAAGCAGAGGCAGTGTTACAGTGAAAATTTCAGCAGAGAGTCTCAGCAGCATTTCCTATGAGGCAAGGTCAGGTCCAAGTTGGGCTTGAGTCATTATGCACTTTTATGAGATGGTAGTGAGTAAAGACAGAGGAGGAATTCTGCCCTAAAGATGCCTGAAGTGCCTTGTGGGCTCCAGAACGTGCTGGAATGGGGCACTTATCCCACCAAGAGTTTACTCAATCTGCACAGTATTTTTTTTCCCCCAAACCAACAGCTCTTATATTGCCTCATCAAAATTACACATACATCTTAGTAACCGTGTGGTGTCTTCATGTGGCTGGACATCTCTTAGATCTTATTCATCAGCCTGCCGAACTGTTCCTTTTTCAGAGACATAGATACCATCCAAAAATTTTCTGATATCCTTGTTTTTAACTGTTGTGGCTTGCTGAATCAAAGCAGCCAAATTTGAAACAAGCTCAGTGTCATTTCCTTTGAGGATCAACTCATCTTTCTGTGCTTGAGATATCGAACAAGCAACGCCTGGCCTCATCCGAACCCTGTGGATGTATTTTTCACCTAAGAAATTTTGTATTTCAACAAGAGACCCATTCTCCTAGATAACAACGTTGATGGGGAAGTGAGCACACACAGACCTCATCTTGTAATGGAAGCCCAGTGTAACACCCTTGATCATGTTCTGTACATGACTACAAGTAGTGTGAACGGTAGCCAGTTCCTTTCTATTCCCCCACCATTTGTCAACCCAGAGCCTCTTCTTTTTCTTTTCAAGGAGACTAAGTTCTACATTGATGTGATTGAAGTCCCTCCTCAGGGTTCCTCTGGGACCCTTCACGATAACTGTGCGCCCCTTAAGTGTGATGTCAACATTTTCTGGAATGTCGACAGACTGATTGCTGAGAACGGTCTTCATTCTTGCAGTAGATGTGGCAAAGAGCCCGCACAGTATTTTTAAGCTGATGGATCAGAGTTATATTCTCATTCACTGCCTTTGTCAAGCTACCTTATGACCTAGACTCAAATACACATATTGTGAAGTAGGCTTTCCATAGTTAACCTTTTCGTCTACACCTAACAGAATGCATCAATATCTAGAGAACTACCCAATGGAAATATCGGAACAGCTGGTGTCACAGGGCTAAGGGGCTGAATGCGCATCCGATTTGGAGCTTGAAGGCGTCACCGTGGGGGACCGGGATGCAGTATTGGGGAAAGCATGTTTATTTAAATAGAGGATGCCTCAGTGGTCTAAGCAAGGATAATTCACTGTCAAGTTCCCATACGAGGCTGTATTTGACTTTACATGACTTTCACATTCACACTGGGGAGTCATCCCAGCAAGCTAGCAGAGGAGAAGACCCTTGGAGGACACGTGGGCAGTGTTCGTGGGCCATACCCGGGAGCAGCACACACATCCTCTCACCTTTCACTGCCCAGAGCCTGGTCAGCCTTGTAGTCACGCCTACCTGCCAGAGGCTGAGAAGGTAGATTCACTATCTGGGGGAGAACCAGAAGTGGATGTTGGTGCTGGTCAGCAGGCATGTGTTTACACTCTGCACACACACAAGAGTGTAGCTCACCTGCTCCTGGAGGAAGACACCCAACTAATCAGATTCCCAGCTAATCAGATTCAAAGCCTAGGATCTGGTGAAAATGTCAAATGTCAGGTCCAAATGTGGTGCCTCTGGAAAGACAATTTCCCACTCCTACACAGCTCTCCTCATCTCTCTTCTACATGGCTTCCCTTCAGCCTGTTCTCAGATCTGTGAATAACTTTCAGCTCACTCAGGACAGAAGTCAAAGTGCTGGTCTATAGGACCTTACCCCCCCCCCAGCCCCTGCCCTCGACTCCTCTGTGACCTATTGAGTCTCGTTTTTGACAGCTCCTCCTTCTCCCTTACTCTGCTCCAGCCATCCTGGCCACCACCCTGGCTCTAGAACCCACCAGGCACAGTCTCAGCTCACGACCTTTGTTCTTACCCTTCCCTCTGTCAGAACAGCCTTCTCCATCCAGATACCCAGAATACTCCTGTGCATCGGAGAACCACCAGGAGCCACTCAGAATCTTGATGTTCATGTTTTTAGGACCTCAGCTGTGGCCACACTGACTCCTAGAAAAAAGATGTACCAGATACTCTTGACCAAGATACTGATAGTTACCACCCACATGGTTTGGAGTGACTCCTAGACCAAATCAGCGCCTGGGAACCTGGGAAGGTGCATTAGGGAGCATGCTCACAAAATGTAATAGGATCTTATTGGGACCAGTGCTAATGTGACCTGTGGGGTCAGGAGGTGAGTTAACTTAAGATCTACCTTGAAATTAGAAATAATACACTGGCATGTGCAGAAAAAGAGCTAGGGACTGAAGTGGTACCTGAACACGTGCCCATCTGGCGGCCTGCTCTTTTGGTGGCCTTACATGAAGTGTGGCTCTTTTGCAAGGGAACTGAATCCAGACCTTCATCTTGGAAGCATGTTCCTGGTATGCCAGTCTGAATCCACGAAAGGCACACGGACATGCCCGGCAACTTCCTAGTTTTAGGACCACAGATTCTGTTTGGAGATGGTGGCACCCCCAGTTTGGAGATGAGGAATTGACACCTTGGTCAAACAGGGAACAGAGAGAAATGATATACTACAAAGAGAAGACAGGGTTGGCCTTCTTGTTAAGTGGAAAATAGACTGCTTAAATAACTCAGCCCTCAGTTGCCAGCAAGTGACTGAATGCGAATGTCTTGACCCCACTTGCTGGCTTGGCTTAGATCTAATAAGTGGCTCTTTCATGAACGTGCTGTTTGTGCTTGCCTGGTGCTCAGCTGGGATCGGTCAGAGCCACTACAAGTGTTA